CCTCTTCCCTTCCCTTTTTTTTCTTCAATTTTTACTCAAAGTGATTGTGATTTATAAAGACAGCATAATTAGTTAATGCAGTGATTTGAACGTTGGAGCACTTTGTACTAGAAACCAAAATGATGAACAACTGGGCAACTGGTAAGTCAGAATGTGACTATAATTCTAAAAGAGAGTGTTTGATACAACGAATACAACTGTTGCGTGTACTTTTGCAGCAGATCAATGAGTTACATAATAAGTAGAAAGGTAGGCTTATCATTTTTCTTTCTCTATGTAAATTACTAATTTCTAATGTGACATCATCATCATTGCCTTTCTCCCCCTGGGTCAGGGTATAAGCCATGAACAAACACTTTCCACCATTGCCTTTCTCCCCCTGGGTCAGGGTATAAGCCATGAACATACACTTTCCACCATTGCCCACCCTGGGCTAGCCTTTTCATATTATTCCATGTCCTCCCACTTTTCGGTACATCAATTACTGTGACTCTTCTCCAGGTTCCACGTGGTCTTCCCCTTGATCTTTTACCCTTTCTAATGTGGCATTTCATTAGAATCGTGTCACATTTCCAAAACCAATGTCGTGTCCTCTCATACCGCTACTACAGTTTGGAAGAAAAAATTGAGAGTGGAATAAAGTTTGAGGGAGTAGAGTTCAAAGTATTTTAGTTTGTTATAAATTGCTCAGCACTGAATTACCCAAACAGTCAGACAGTGGTGAGTTTGCAGAAAGAGAAGCAGAAATAGAAGCACATCGACACAATAATGGCCATTTTGTGCTGAGAAAAAAGTAAGATAGATAGACAGAAACAACACGAGGGTAAGAAATGAAGTAAAAGTTTCCAGTGAAGCCTGAAACCCACATAGAGGAAGGGCATGAAAGAGGAGGTAATGACAGTCAGAAAAGTAGAGCTAATAAAAGGAATCAAGAACCATTTTGCATGTGTGTAAAGTAAAGTAAATATATGAGTTCAATGCCCCTATCAACACTATTTGTGTGTCTGTTTTGAGTTGTGGCCGGTAAAAGAAAAGTACAGCCTCCCATTTCGAGCCACTTGACCTAGTACGCAACTTCCAGGATCGCCTTGGTAGTGTTGCAATTGTGTAAAAGTACAGCTGGAAAGGGCTGGGTGTGGTCATAGTGATGATCAAAGACGGGGG